TCGCTCACTTACACTTGATTCCACACAAAAGGATATTATAGCCTTCACATCCCTATTAGCCAGACGTCTAATATTGTTGCATTGGAAGTCTGTTAAGTATCCTGCTGTTTCCCGGTGGCTTAAAGATGTCATGTTTTTTTTAAAACTTGAAAAAATTAAATATACGTTGAGAGGTTGCACAGCCAAATTTTTTCACAAGTGGCAACCCTTTATCTCTTATTTTGCTAGTCTAGAGGTATTGCCTGTTTAAATGTACTTCTGCTACTGTTATAGTCCTCTAATATGTTTGATGGTTGTGTTGATCTGTGTGGGATGGGGGGGAGGGGTCTTCCTTTTAGAATGCGTTGGGGTTTTTTTTTCATATATATATAAGTTTATTTACTTAGAAAAATGAAGAAAGGTTGATTGTATTTCGGTAACTGCAAGTACTGTTGTTTTCTTTTTTCAATAAAAATATTTTCCAAAAAAAAAAAAAAATGATTCAAATGGATTAAGTATACACACCATGGGGCGGCTCATTCACAAACACATGTCTAACTTAAGTTTCACACTGTTTCTTGTGTGTAAAATCTGAAATGACCATGGTGTTGATTTAAAATGTGCTTTGGCACAATCATAGGCATCACTTGCTACTGACAACAAGAAAAAAAGCCGGTCTGCACTATGGGCTGAACCATTTGTTAACGGTGGGTGGGAGGGGGGTAACACTATGCAATATATTCAGTTTTAGAATGTGTATTTCAGGGTTAACTGTAACTAGGCTCAAAGTGTTAATGCTGTCTTATTTTAATAAACAACACTGTCATATGCAAAACTAGGGTGGCACTTAGGGTGGCAAGGGATCATTTTAGGGTGGAACATGCCACCTTGAAACCTTTGAGAACACATCTCAAAGGTGTTCTGTTGAATTGAGATTTAAAGACTGTGGAAGCCATCTGAGTACATTGAACTCACTGTCATGTTCAAGAAACCAGTCTGAGGTCATTTGAGCTTTGTGAAATAGTGCGTTATCCCACTAGGGATAGTGTACTAGGCAGAAGATGGGTGCACTGTAACAATGCCTGGTTGGTGCTAAGGAACCCAAAGTGTGGTAAGAAAATATCCCACACAGAACTGTTGAAACAAGGGAGCTGTCACGCTGTTTATGCTAAAACACTAGCATCTGAATGCTGCAGTAGAAAACGAGACTCATAATATCCGGCAACATTTTTCCAGTCTTCTGTCCAACTTTGGTCTGTGTGAGCTGTAAGCCTCAGTTTCCTGTTCTTAGCTGACAGGAAGTGTCACTCAGTGTGGTCTTCTGCTACTATAACCCCCATGTGTTGTGCATTCAGAGACGCTCTCCTGCATACTTTGGTTGCAACGAGTAGTAATTTGAGCTACTGTCTGGCCATTCTCCTCTGACATTTTCACCCACAGAACTGCTGCTAACTCAGCATTTTCTCATTTTCAGACCACTCTCTGTTGGTAGAATGTGATATCACACACACACACACACACACACACACACACACACACACACACCGTGATCTGACTACTTCATATGAAAAAGGCCAATTCACATAAAGTAAGAATTAATGTTTATTGAACTTTCACAATGTAGTCTGATTAAAACTGCTACTTTTTTTCTTTTTTTTTTTTACAGTCAATGTTACATCAGTGCATAAAGAAATAAATAAAGTAATAAAGGGGTAGTCTTTATGTGGAATGTACCAATGTTATTCTACATTTGTAAGAAGAACAGATTAATAACAGATTAATGGCTCTAAATGTAAATGTCAAATGTAATAGCAAAAAACACAAAACTACACAAATCTAAAAGTGCTTTTTCATCAACACAAATACAAGCGCAAAAACGTAGAAAAGCCTCCACACTTGAACCTTTTTCTTGCTGCTACCAAATCTGGTCTGCAATCCGGAATAGATTTGGAACAGTTTAGTCAGACTTAGCTGCACGGTCACTGTAGTGTACGGTTGAATATTTAAAAGAAAAAAAAAAGGTTCCCGTCCCATGCCCAGTCTGCAGGTCTTTCATATCATTGGAAGCAACAACTACAAAATGTGACATTTGCTGCTCAGATCCTGATTGGTTCTCGAGTGGTCGTGTGACACTGCGGCATTTCCGCGTGTTTAAAAAAGAAAAGAAAAAAAAAGTAATTCTGTGTTGTGTTTATGACAGGTTACAGTGTAACATAGTGTTATCTTTACGCTGTTCTCGCCTGACAACATGAGGTACAAAATCACAAGTGTCACCTTCTCACTGACTGCAAACACTACACACAGCTACGAATACACATAAATATTCAGCTACGCTCTCATCGGCCATCATTCACACAGCTCTCGCTGCCGAGGACAGTTAACTTTACACGTGGTGTTCTATTATGGAGTAGTAAAACAAAGCACGAGTCACGCAGTGAGATAACAACCGGGGGTTTGATATGACATCACAGTTTAGCAGCTTAATCTACCTGATTAAATAGCCCTAATGGTTACATTTGTTAGTGCGTCAGAGAGAGAAAAACGTACAGGAGGTACTTAATAGCTTTGCTATAGACTGTCAGCCTTCATTAGCTCCAATATAATCCTTTTCAACACAACTTTGTGCGTCAAATTGAGGCAACTGTGCCGATGCAACTCCTTTAGGGTGCTTCGAAATTAAAGCAAAGATCAAAACTGCATTATATGCACCGTCACACAGCGGCAACGATATCCTTTACCCAGTTGTCACCCACATATTGTGGTCTTGGAAACAATAGCTGTAAGCTCCTATTTATTCACAATTAGTTGCTGCTCTACACTACATTCTTCAGCCCACACTGCTTAAGGTACTGTTGACTCTAGTAAGGCTATGGTCTATGGATTTAAGGGGGAAAAAAAAGCCATCTGAATGTAGTGAATCTTCCGCTTGCTCATACATCCCCATCTTCAATCCGTGCTAGCTGTCTCTCCAGCAACTCAATTCTCTGATTCTGAGCAAGCACGACGGCCCGCAGAGCTTTCATTTCTGCTAACAGCTCGCTCAAAACGTCATCCTGAAAGAAAAGAGAGAGAGAGAGAGAAAAAACAAGTCAAAAATAGCTTCAAAAAATCTTAAATCAGCATCTCACTTGCTGCTGACCGACCTCTCTCTTTGGCCTATCGCCGTTTCCATCCGTCTCCCTCGTGGCCGCTGTCGGCTGTGGCGTCTCTTCTTCTGTCTCCTTGGCGGCAGAGGTAGGTGTGGACGTGGGAGCTGCTACGTTCCCTGCGGAAGGTGGGACGGCCCCGGTCCCAGAGTCCTGAGAGACGAGCTTGGGCTTGCTTCTGAGAGTGTCTCTGTGTTTGGATGGAGGAGCTGTGTAGCCACCACTCAGGGAGACCAGCAGCGGTGGCGCGTCCTGCCCCGCGATCCACTCATCAGCCAGGAGGGCTGGCTCCAGGCTGGCTGTGTCTGGGTAAAGGTCTCCCTGGAACAGATCTGACTGGAGAGGAAATATGGAAACTTCATTAGCTATTAAAAAAGGCAGTTCATAAAGTCCACTTTTAAAGTATGTGTGTGCCTTACCTTTCGTGGTACAGTCATAGAAATGGGTT